GTACTGTGGCAACACGTACCCAAGAGCACCTGCTAAAAGTTCTTCCAGCCTGTGTCCCAGAAGTGATCAGTGATCTAAGCAGCAGCCCCCATAACTACTGTCACCTTAGACCTGGCCCTGAGATCACAAAACTCAGCCACAGGGAGCCAGATCTGGATAACAGCACTTTGGATCAGCTTTGTCCACAGACCTACACATTTTTACCAATTCCTATTTGAAAAAGGGACAAATTAAGGAAATGGGTTTCAAAAGCTAGAATTCTTTCCTTCCAATTGTGTTAGTACATTCTCTACATATTCATTACCATGAGACTTGCATTTTAGTTTTTCTAGAAGATAAAATATAGTTGAACATTTGGAAGAGTGCTTACCTTATTCCCTCCCAATCTCTACAAATTAATCTTATTTGTGTTTTTCAAATCCTCTATATTCTAATAGACTTTTTTTATCTTTTATCTTATCTGATACTGAAAGAAGTGTTATAATTTTCCAGAATAATTGTGAATTTGTCTCTCCTCTAGAGCTACTAATTTTTGTTTTTAATATTTTGAGTTTTTGTTTTTACATACATCCAAATTTAGAATTGTTACAATCTTCGTGGTTAATTGAAACTTGTATTAGCCAATTTTCTATTGCTTATAACAGAATACCTGAAACTGGGTAATTCATAGAGAAATGAAATTCATTTCTTACCATTTTGGAGGCTGGGAAGTCCAAGATCCAGGGAGCACGTCTGGTAAGGGCCTTCTTAGTGGGGACTCTACATGGTCCTGTGGTGACCCATGGCATCACATGGTTAGGAGAGGTAATAGCACTTTTATGCTCTCCTTATAAAGCCACCAGTCCACACCCATGAGAACCCATTAAACCATTAACCCATTAATGGATTAATCCATTCATGAGAGCAGGGCCCTTATGATCCAATAACTTCCTAAAGGCCCCACGTTTCAACATTGCCCCATTGGGGATTAGTCTTCCTCACAAGCTCAGGAGGGCACAAACATTCAACCATATCAAAACTGTATCATTATGAAATGTCTCTTTTTATCTCTAGTGATACTTTTTGCTTTAAAATTTACAATGTCATATATTAACACAATATGCATATGTTCCTTATTAAAGGCTAATGTAAATTGATACTCACACCACTCTGGACAGAGGGAGGAATGAGAACACTAACTCCATTTATTCCTCTCCTGACTTACATGATATTGACAGCATGCATGTGAATTCTGTATGTAGTTGACATAGCCAGTCACTATTGTTTCGGAGTCAATATTCATTTAAATTAACCCACATATTTACCCTTTTCATTACTGCATTATTCTTTCCTGTCCTTTAAGTTTCCCTCTAGAATCATTTTTCTTCTAACTTAAGAACACCCTTTAGTATTTCTTCTAGCATGAGTTTACTGGTGACAAATTCTGTTTTTATTTGTTGGAAATGTCTTTGTTTTGCCTTCATTTTTGCAGGATACTTTTACTGAATATAGAATTCTAGATTGGCAGTTATTTTCTGTTGGTATTTTGAAGATATTTCATTATGGTCTTTCATTTTGTTTTTTTTTGTTTTGTTTTGTTTTTTCTTAAAAAGTAAGCTGTCAATATAATTACCTTTGACAAGCAGTTATTTTCTGTTGGTATTTTGAAGATATTTCATTATGGTCTTTCATTTTGTTTTTTTTGTTTTGTTTTGTTTTTTCTTGAAAAGTAAGCTGTCAATATAATTACCTTTGACAGTAATCTGCTCTTTTTCTCTCAATCTCCTTTAAAATTTATCTTTGTCTTTGTCTTTTAACAGTTGTACAATGATATGCCTAGGTGTGATTGTCTATTTATCCTGCTTGGGGTTTGCAGTGTTTTTTATTCTACGGCTTAGTGGGGTTTTGTGTGTGTGTATGCATTTTAGGAAAACCTATTATGTATTCAAATTACGCATCTGCTGCATTCTTTCTGTGTTTCTTCTAGACATAGCCCCATTATCTAGATCTCCTGGTTGGTTTTCTTGGGTTTTGGTGATGTCTTGTCTTCTCATGTATCTGGTGATGTTTAAATCAACTGCCAGACGGTACATATTAAAGTTGTAGAGATAATAAGATGGTCTGGATGACGTCTTCTTCCGTAGAGGGTTTGCCTTTGCTTCTCATAGGTAACTAGGCTAGAAACACTAGCAATCCAGATTGCCTTTATCCAATCATGCATTGACATTATTTGAAACTGGGCTTTAGTCTGTGGTGGCTTGTCTTTTTTTTTTTTTCACCCTTTTTCCTTCGGGATACCTTTAGGACTATATTTGTCAAAAGCTCTCTCCAGCCTATCTTGCCCAGTATTTGTCTTAAGAATTAGCAAACACGTCAGTAATAAGCAGTTCCAAATTTCAGAGATTGTATCCTGCTTCTAGTCTCATTCCCATAATTTCTCACTGCCTTGTTAGCTCTCCTATGCCTTCAGAAAATTAAATGTGTTTATTTTCTTCCTCCTATTTTAGTTCTCAAAGGGAGTACTGTTCTGTACCACCTACTCTGCCACTGGCATAAGTTTTCAGCTCATTGAGGTAGCTGTTCTTATTTAAAGAGTGTGAAGTCCAGAAATATATATTTTTCAATTACCAAAATCACTGATCTAAAAATGAAAATGGGCTGATTTGCAACATTACTTTATTCTCATCTTTTGTTGCTAAAAAATCTTATGGCAACCATTCTTTTTGTTAGACTTTACCAACTTTGATACATGAGAGAAAACGACCTCTGGTGGTGTCAAATTTTATTGCAGTAGCTGCCAAACTTCAGCAAAGGGAGATTGAGTAAAAACTTCTGGGATGTCTTCTTTAACACTATGGTTTTTCCTTTGGCTAATTTACAGAAAATGAGGTTAATGAAGACTGGTCTAAAAGCCCAGGGGTTTCAAAATAAGAATTCTAAAAGTTAACTTAGTAGGATTACTGAGCTATTGATTCTCAACCTTTTTATTCTCAGGCATATTTTTAAAACTAGAATTCTGTACTCCCAAGACACACACACAAAAAAAGACAAAAGAGCTACTTTACCTTTTGTCAACACGGTATTATCTCTATGAGAAAGGAAGACTGTTTTTCGTGGGGCCCCTTGCTTCTTGAGGTACACTTGAGAATTGATTGAGGAATAAATAATGGAAAACTATGAGTGATATGGGAGCTAACTTAAGTAGGACTCTAAGGTCAGTATGGGAGGCATGTGGGGTATAGACTTTACTAGGGAAAGTACTGTGGGTTAGCCATATATTTTTGTGCCATCATTCTAATCATCTGTTTTTATAGCAAAACTATTAATAACTTAAATTTTTTTACAATTTAAATTATAATTTAAATTTTTAAATAAAAATGCATTTTATTTTCCAAAAAGGAATCTCATACTGTGAATTCAGTAAATGTAAGAAAACATTCACTCAAAGCAATATTTAATTATACATCAGATAGTTCATAGGGGAGAGTAATTTTCTGTTTGTACTGAATGTGAGTAGGATTTTATTCACAAATCATACTTCATTACATATCAGAAAAAATAAGTTAAAATCTCATTACAGAACAGAAATTCATTTTGGAGAGAAAACCTGTAAAAGCAGTGACTGGAAAACCCTTCCCTGAAATTTATCAGAAAATTTCTACTAGAAGGAGATAAATGCACTTAAATGTGAGAATAGCTTCATGCAGAAATCACTTTTCAGTATTCTTCAGTATACACGTGAGTTAAATGTGTATTTTCTGAAAGTCAGAACCAATTGTATATTACTTGTACTACAGAGTTCTATGATTATTGTATATTCTATATGGAAAAGTCTTTGTCCATGAGTCACATTTTACTGTATATCAAATAAATAATTGATAAGAATAAATTTTCTAAGAACATATTTAATTAAACACCATAAAATTCATACAGGGATGAAACTCTTTTAAGTT